CCAACAGTTCCATGTCCTTTTTATGTTGAGGACACCAGAACTGCACACAATACTCCAGGTGAGGTCTCACAAGAGCAGAGTAGAGGGGCAGGATCACCTCCTTCGACCTGCTGGTCACGCTCCTTTTGATGCAGCCCAGGATGCAGTTGGCTTTCTGGGCTGTGAGCGCACACTGAAGCCGTCTCCTGTTCGTTTTCTCATTGACCAACACCCCCAAGTCCTTCTCTGCAGGGCTGCTCTGAATCTCTTCTCTGCCCAACCTGTAGCTGTGCCTGGGATTGCTCCCACCCAGGTGTAGGACCTTGCACTTGGCATGGTTAAACTTCATAAGGTTGGCATCAGCCCACCTCACAAGCGTGTCGAGGTCCCTCTGGATGGCATTCCTTCCCTCCAGGGTATCAACCGAACCACACAGCTTGGGGTCATCAGCAAACTTGCTGAGGGTGCACTCAATCCCACTGTCCATGTCAGCCACAAAGATGTTGAACAAGACCGGTCCCAACACCGATCCCTGAGGGACACCACTCGTTACTGGTCTCCAGCTGGACATTGAGCCATTGACTACAACTCTTTGTGTAGTGCCATCCAGCCAGTTCTTTATCCACCGAGTGGTCCATCCATCAAATTGATGTCTCTCCAATTTAGAGACAAGGAGTGTGAGGTGTCCCTGCCCATGGCAGGGGGGTTGGAACTTGATGATCTTAAGGTCCTTTCCAACCCTGACTATTCTATGATTCTATGACAGTGTCAAACACTTTGCACAAGTCCAGGCAGATTACACCAACTGCTCTACCCCTGTCCATCAGTTCTGTAGCCCCATCATAGAAGGCCACCAAATTGGTCAGGCAGGATTTCCCCTTAGTGAAGCCATGTTGGCTCTCACCAAGCACCTTGTTGTTTTTCATGTGCCTTAGCATGCCTTCCAGGAGAATGTGCTCCAAGATTTTGCCAGGCACAGAGGTGAGACTGACTGGTCTGTAATTCCCCGGGTCATCCATTTTCCCCTTCTTGAAAATGGGGGTTATATTTCCCTTTTTCCAGTCATCAGGAACTTCACCTGACTGACATGATTTCTCAAATATGGTCACAGTGGCTGAGCAACTTCATTTGCCAGCTCCTTCAGGACCTGCTGATGGATTTCATCAGGTCCCATGGACTTGTGTACGTTCAGGTTCTTAAGATCGTCTTGAACCAGATCCTCTCCTACAGTGGTCCCAAGGTCTTCATTCTCACAGTCCCTGCATCTACCTTCCAAGACTTGGGTGGTTTGATCAGAGCCTTCACCAGTGACGACTGAGGCAAAGAAGTCATTAAGAACCTCAGCCTTCTCCAAATCCTGCGTAGCCAGTTCTCCTGAGAGCTTCCGGAGGGGACCTATGTTGTCCCTAGTCTGTCTTTTATCTGCAACGTACCTATAGAATCCCTTCCTGTTGTCTTTCACATCCCTAACCAAGTTTAATTCTAACTGGGCACTTCCTTCTAGTTGGGATGCAACACTCCTGAGCTTGTAGTAAGTGATCCTTGAATATCACCCAACAGTCTTGGGTCCCCCTGCCCTCTAGGGCTATATCCCATGGAACCTTACTAAGCAGGTTCCTGAAGAGGCCAAATTCTGCTCTCTTGAAGTCCAGGGCAGTGAGCTTGCAGCACACTCTTCTCACTGTCCTAAGGATCTCTAATTCGACCACCTCATGATTGCATGAGTTGTGGTCTCATGTTGCAAGATCAGTGTCCTGAAGTGGGCTTTGCAACGTTTTCTATTTTTGTGGGGTTATGGGTTTATTTTTCTGGTGGGTGGCAGGAGAAGAATCCAATTGCTTCAGGTTACCTATTCATTGAGTGTGGATGTAGTTGCCTACATTTGCTACATAACTAGGACTAGAAATACACATCTAAACAGTCTAAGTTGTCGAGCTGTGTTAGCTTTTTTTTTTATTATTATTATTATTATTTGAAGGCAGGCTTTGGAGATCAAAGCCCTTTGGTGATAAACCATTAAAAGAATTGTGTTGTCCTAGACAGAGAATGTAGAGCAGGTGATACTTCTGTTCCTTAACCCCCTTTTTACTCTGCACCACATGTTTCTTCTGCACATTATAGACTGATCCTTCTTTTGATTGAAGATGAGGTTCAGTAGGCTGGTTATATGAACAAGACCAAAAAAATATATGCAGTATTACTTGTACATTAATAAATGGGAGAGTGTTGGGCTAATAATATTGATTAAAAGAAACATACAGCTGTCTTGTATTACCCCATGTTCCCCTTCGAACTCCTGCAGCAGCCCTCCTGTTCTGCTTCGTATAGGCCCATCATGATAGATTCTGCCAGAAGTGTTAGTGTTAGTTAGTAACAAGACTGAGGCTCTGCATCAAAGGCAGCCTCCCAGCCTTGCTCAGGGTACTTAAGATAAAAGACTTAAACCTGTCTTCTTTGTGAATATGTGTATTCCTCCTGCCTGTGGTTTCCTTCAATTCAATGTAAGATTCATTTTCTCAGAATGATTTGAGAAGTCTTGGCAAAAATGTCAACAAAACGACTTCATAAGGGAATAATGAATGGAAATGCCTAGCTCCTTCTAGGGGAAACAAGCAGAAATATCTTTACTGACTTAATACCTGTGAGGAGTCTCATCCTTAATGTCAAGCCTTCTCAGCTGAACCAACAGGTGTGAGTGTGTCACTTTTACCACTCACTGAGCGCAAAGTGCATGCATAACACTGTTACAGATCACCAAAGGATTTTACTAATAGTGTCATTGGAATTACAGCACATTCTTTGTCATTCCAAACGTTTGTGTATCATCCAAGTTTTTGCAGGGTGGCTTCACTCTCTTTTCCTTGCCTTGTAATCGCTTTGTTACAGGAGGTTTTCATTACTGCATTTAGACAGACCTTGGCACCTACTCTCAACTGCTTTCTGGGCCAGTATTAAATGTTATTTAACAAGCAAATTATTAAAATAATTACATATTATTTAATAAACATGGGTTTTTAGCCACGTATTTTATAAAGTACTAAAATAAATATTTCCAGTCTTTGGCCAAAGCCCATGTCTATTTAATGATGCCAAGATGTGTCTGAAGAGTGTCCTCCTCAATTCTGTGTATTTTCCATTGTTAGTGCTTTATTCTAAATTGCAGCCATCCATGGTGAGCCTGCACTCCATGGGTTAAAGTGTATTTTGATATTAGAACAAGCTTTCATTATGTTTTTTCTCTTTTCTCCGCTTTCCCTCTCTTCCCCACAATTTGGAACTTTAAGCTTTTTAGTTAAGCTATTATGGTGGCCGTAAACAGGTGCGTGCTTTACAGAGGGTCTCATTCTGTGGTTTCCACTGGCATCCCTGGCCTTCTGAACTCCCCTTTGCTACCTCCTTCCCCCTCAATAATTTTTTATGAATGATAGCTTTTCAACACCCTGGGAACAGCTTGTTGGGAAAAACACTCTTCATGGGGTGCAGTCAGATCCTACACATTTCTTCAAGGGAGTTTTATGAAAGGAATGGTACTGTGTTGCAGGTATGACGTATGCATGGAGCCCCCCTCCCCGCTCGCTTCCTACCCCCTGCCTCTATGATTCACTGTGATAAATTTGCTTTTTAATAATGCCAGTGGGCTCTCTCGCCACAGGTGCTTCTCAATTAAAATCCACTTTGTTTAAATACTGGAGGCTTGTTTAACTGAGCCCCTGGTGAGAGTTGTCAGATCTCAGGATAGGTGACAAAAATAGATTAGTGATCCTCTGGAGCTGCATTCAAAATACCATATCCTGGGGTAGCAAAGGGCAGTGTCACTCTTAAAACAAATCTGCAAGTTTGAGAAGCCCTGGGTGGAATCCCTGTGAGTTGTCATTTTCAGCATGGGGCTTTCCTTAATCCATCTTTTAGCATTTTGTTTTGTTCCTGCTAAACCCCACCCTCTAATACTTTCCCCTTCTTTCTACTGTTGATTTGGCTGTTTAGAAAATAGAAAGGTAAAAGGAGTATTTTCCTCTTTCCCAACAACAGTCTCTTTCTTTAGTATTCTAATGATATTTGCAAGAAGTTAATTGGAACGGCAAAGGGGAGGGAGGGCTTTTATATATTTTTTAAAAGAAAAAAACAAGCTCAAAGTTTCAGAATCATATGTTTTTACCTTTTTTTCCCCTTTATTTTCTTTTAAATAGAAGGGAAAATTTACTTTGGGGTGATCTGATCTTTTCCCTGCCCTCTTAGACGTGTATTTTTAGCATTTAGAACACATGTAATGTCCTCAGATATTGCTTACCAAAGCACTTTGAAATAACTATAGAGGGTAGATGGGATGACTCAGGGGACTGGTAATTGAATATGGAGCCTTTTCACCTCGAAGTCACTAGTTTGAATCTAACCCAAGTTGCTAGCGACCTAGTGGTTACCCTCAGATGGCTGTTTAGTGGCCTGTCTGAAGTGAGTTGGTGGTCTCAGGCCAGCTTTTTGCAAACAGCTGTCCACATCACAGAAACCACCGTCACAGTTAGTACTAATTAGCAGCCTTGTTGGCAGTATCGGTAAGTGAGGCGAAGGACTGAATTAGCCATCGAGTTGTCTTCTGCTGTTAGAGGTGGTCTCTCTGAAACAGAGCCAAGGCACCCTGCTCTTTGAGTCTCGCAGCGGCAGCTGGGTTTTAACACTGTCTGGGTTGTGTGTGCGTGCGGATTTTCTCCCTCTGGGGAGACGGCAACTTTTCCTGCTCCCACAAGATCAGGCTGTGAGCCGTGTCCCCATTCTGGTTCAGTTTTGCTTTGCCCTCTGCAGCTTATCAGTTCCTGGGTTCAGGGGCATTTTGATGCCTGGCTGTTGGACTTTCCCACACACCCTGTATCAGTCAGATTAGTCCCCTAACATTTCTGCTAAATCTACTGCAATTAAGACTTCACATTTCAGTCCATTTGTTTCAGCAGTCACACCAGTGGTAACCCTATCGTACTACAGGCAGTCCTCTTTGAAAGTGTTTTACATTTTATCTCTGCAAGTGAAGCTAACACAAAATTTAGTTATTTTGAAAGTGTGAGCATAAAATAGGTAACTCTGAGCTTTTAAAATACCTTAGAGCTGAAGAACCTTGCAATAAATATCTTTTATTGGGGAGTTTTAGAGTGTAACCCTTGTGTACTCTGAAAGGTTCATTGATGGTTTCCAAAACCCACAGAGGATCCCTCTGCTGGTAGTAAGATTTTGAGTCAATGCGTAAGTGTATCTGTGATAATCCATTTGCAAGATCATGAACATTTTCACATGTGTAAACCAAGTTGAAGTAAACACGGTTTACAACATTTTAAGCTGTAGGCATTTCTGTCTGAAAATGGGGAATTCAGTATGCATACTTCAGATTCCATTCAGAGGAACAATAGTAAACAATTCTAACCAAAATACAGTGGTTTTCCTCCCAAGTACTACACTAAGCCCCACAGAAACTTATTTCTGACACCCCCCCCCCTCCAACTTTTAATATTAGCAATGGTTTCTGCAAAAATAAACGTTCCCTCAAAGTATTGGCAACCCAAACACAAAAGCCAAAACTTGAAGATAACAATAGTGACCTTCTGAGTTTGGTTTTTTTTCTCTAACTTAAGAAAAATTGCTGAAGTGAAGAGCACAAATAGAAGCTACATAGATTTTTAAGTTTTTGGTTCCTGATATTGGTAAAAGGTGAGCAAGAATCTATAATAGCAGATTTACCTGTTGCTTTCAGAGGAGGAGGATACGGTTGCAGCTTTTGGAGTCTGTGGTTTGGGTCACCTCATGCTGCACACTAGTTAGGCTGACTACCATTCCAGCATTTCTAGTCATGCACTGATAGATGATTACCTCAGACTTCACTGGGACTGAGTGCATTCTATGTGTATTTCTGATATATGGTTTATTTTTAGCCAGCAGGAGGATATAAGGACTCAGGGAATGGCACAGCTGGAGGCAAAGGGAAGCCTAGCTCAGCCTAGCTTGGAGCTCTCTCCTACATCTTGGACAAGTTCAGGAAATAAAACTCTTTTATGCTGGTTGGAGGTGTCTACAAGGAGCACCCCATGCTGGCTGGTATCTTGAGCAGTCCAGAAAAAGAGGCAGAAACGGTTCCTGTTTACAAGTTGGAAAAAGCAAATTAAGCCAAGAAGGTGTTTGCATAGTTTTGCCTTAGTAGTGAAAGAGATGTATACTCAGGAGCTGACAGTGGTTGAGCATTCCCTCTGTAAAGCTCAGGCAGGAAGGAGGACTGTACACAACACTGTCCTGAAAATGTGTCTTCGAATAAGTCTTCATAGTAGAAGTACTGGAAGTCTGAAGGAGATGGAGTCTTCTAAATAATGATGGTCTTATGGAGGAGGTCACGCTCTCCTCTCACGGAGGAAGGAGATGGAAAGAACTGTTGTGGAAGCAGTTGGCAAGGTCAGTCTGTCTTGTTGTCACAAGAGTGGCAGGAAGGAGGCTTCCAAACAAACCCAAGCCCCAGGAGTGAGGCAATCACCGTTTCTTCCTGCTCACATCAAATTCTTGTTCAAGGCATTTCCAAATAAGGGTTAGGAGCTGAGCGCTGCAACCGCAAGATGACAGTGCAATGCTGTTAAAACCAAGACTCCTTTTTCCTTCTACTTAAAATAATCTATGTCCAGCCATGAATCAAAGCTCCTCTTTAACCTGCCATGCTCTGAAATAGACTGACAGAAACATACACAAATCCTCCTGAAAAAATAAATGATGAAAAAAGCTTTAGCTGGCAATTCCAGAGTAAGAATGATTAGCAAGTTGCACTGTTGAGTTAACATGATTTTAATCATGTGCTGCTTGTTAATCTCAAGGGAAAAAATGCCACAATGTGTCTCTTGTGTGAGCAAAAGGAACACAAGAATCACATGGCAAAGTAATTTTTGCATAATGGTATCAGTAAAATCAAATAAACATAAAAGAGAACAATATTCCTGGCCAAAGTAAGTTAACCTGAGATCAGTGGAGCTTTACTAATCTAGCCACCAAAAGGTCTATCTTGTCACACAGACCCTTGAAGTCCTCCCCTTTAGCTTGCCAATGGTAGAGCAGCAAAGGGCCATGGGATAGTTGTTGAGATGCATCACTAAAGTAAAAGCAAACCAATATGGTACTGATGGAAAGAAAGAGAGAGCAATTTTAGCGTTTAAGGTTAGGGCAGTGGTGACAGGGTGAGAGCAGCTTTGAGTTTGCCAGTACTTGAGCCTGCTTTCACTTTGTATGAACTTTTAAATATTCAGGAAACCTTCCAGTGATGCTTTGATTTCAAAAGCTATCTGGTGGCCAACGTGTCCAAACCCAGCAATTAAACCAATAAATTTAGAGGCCAGTCTTTAAAAGTTCTGATCTTCAAACGCTGCCACTAGTGCATTATTCATGGATTTGTTTTTTTCCTTTGATATCTCTCTATGGTATGATCTATATAGCAGAAAAGAACCCACATCTGTCTGTTTACACCACCCTGGGAATTCCTGTGGGCAACCAAAAAAGTCAACCACAAATAACTGCTGGGCTACCAACAAACATCGTATCTGGAGTGCCTCCACCCACCTGCCATTGGGCAGATTTCTAAATCTTATTTGAACATGTGAAAAATCTGATTGTGTTGGAAGGGGGATATAGAGGGGGAGCTGGGGAAAGGACTAGTTTGAAAAACTAACCTGAAATCAGCAGAACTAGTATGGGATTTCTGGGGGAGTAGGTTACATATGGGCCCTGAGCATCACATCATGACACAGTGCTTCTCATTGAATCAGATCATTTGACTCACTGTGGGGTTCAAGGTTGAACCCTTTTGTGCTGAGGGTATGCAGGTGGTTCTGAGCTGCATCTTGGGGAAAGATGGACAGAAAACATCCCATAAACCATTTTGAAAATTCAGGAAAAATTCTGCAATGGGATACTGGGAGAGGCTTTAAATTCCAGTTCTGCCCTAGCCAGTGGGCCTTTCTGGTCATTCTCACTTTATCTGCAGGGTCTTTTTACATGGTTATGGGTCTTGATGGAGAGAGTTACAATTTCCATTGGTTTGAAAAGTTGCTCAATACATCCAATGATGAACTCCCAACCAAGCCCTTCACTCACCCAAATACTTTTCTTAATGCATGTACCTGAACTGAAGCATTTTTTTAGTCTTCTCAAAATCAGTCGAAGGTATTACTACCTAAAAATAGGCATCCACCAAGGTGAATCTCATCCTATGACTCTTCATGTCCTTGAGATGCATAGAAAATATTCTGATTTATTAGCTTGATCTCGCATTGTTACTTGATTTGCAGTAGTCAGTGAGCTCTTAACTCTGCTTTAGTAGTCGTCAATCAATCAGGCGTTCCACTTTAACTTGATACACAATTAAAAAGCTAAAGCTATAGTATAGATGGTACGAAGATTTTGTTGTTTGTAAATAGTTTTCAGCCAGGCGTTGTGTCAATGGGGTTTTTTGAGCCTTTAATTTTTGATGTGGTAATTTCTCCTTGTCATCTTATATACTAGAGTATGCTGCACTTTCTTTGACTTGTCCCCTTGGACATTTGCTACTCGTACAGTTTTTATTTCCTGCCTCTGGGTAGCAGTTTTTCCCCTTCTAGTTTCTTTCAATTAGTTGAGAAATACTTTCCATTTTTCTTTTTTTTTTTTAATTGGCATATCATCATAATTTTTATGAGGATACATTTACCATTTACATTTGTTGGGATCTTACAGCTCCAGGGCAATACCCTCCACGTCAGACCTCTTAACAAATAAAAATTAAAATTTTTAAGATTTTTTTTTTAATCTAGTGGTTTTTCTTACTCTTTCTCTGAACTCCGAAGTGTAAAAACTTGATTTTTTTAAATCACTAAGCCTTCAATTCATTCATGTCAGCTGAAGGTCTAACAGATTTTTGTATTTGGGGTGCCTTTCTGGCTTTTCCTGACTTTCTCCTTCCTTATGTTTATCCTCATTGTGGAAGACGGCCACGACTCCACTATTTCGTGCAAATTAGAGGTAGTGCTGGGGTCCCTGGCAAGTTCCCAATATGGGTCTCAGATGACTTAAATCCTTCCCATGGGTACATCGACACATTATTGAGCAATTACATTCTCTTGTGGCAGTCATCTGTGGAATAAGTAAACTCCCTCTATTAGCCACACAATGATATCATGCACCATAAATGCATGCTTGGCCTCCATTGTGTCAACAATCAGTTATGTTCTCAAAGGAAGAAATGTGAATATAATTCTAAAACTACAGTGACTAATAAACAGGTTAGTTTTATTACTTGTTTCAGCCCTGAATGCCAACATTGCATTTAACTCAAAAGACTCCCATAAAAGTAGAAGGCATACAGGTAAGCATAGAATTATTTATTTGTTGTAAATATATTATAACTTTTGGGGTTGGGGTAGAAAGGGAGTCCAAAAGAGGAAAGTAACTCACGTTTTGATCTTTTTTCTCCACTGACTTAATGAAAGCTACTCATAATTTTCTCATCAATCACTTTTGCAAAGCTGTGACGTACATTACTGATTGTGGATCTGCTTGCACCAGCAGAATATTTATACAACAAGATGTAAAGTTATATTTGAAAATTAGATCTGTGATTACTCCATATAGTGCAATAAATATTGCAATGGGTCTTCCCCTTTCCCCCTTTTAATGACACTTATCTAAATGTTTTGTAAAGCTTTGAAAGCTTCCAAGGGCAGAGTGTATCCTAAAAGGTGACCTAAATTTCTGGGTACCCTTTAATAGCATACACCAGCTATCATTACTCAGATAGCCTGTGCTTGGATGCTTTTTTCAGCCTTTCTGTGTGTTTGTGTGTCATTGAGTGATGTAGCTGAGGCTGATCACTCACAGATATGGTATTTTAATTTGCTGCCCTGTGAAGCAGCATCCACTGATGCCTACATAATGTAAAGACTGGCTTCCTATACACATTCGAGACAGGATGAGGCTAAGAAGCAAAAAAACACAGGAAGTATTTTTGCAAAGGGGAGAATTGGGAAGAGTTTAAAGCTTCATACTGTCCTCAGATAATGTAATGTTTTGGGACCTGTGAATAGGAGAAGTCCAACACTATTTTCTGCCTGGTGCACCCTGATAATGAAGGTGGGCAGTGCTGGGGTCTCCTACACACAAGGCCAATCAGGGGTTGTTTCCCATGGGTCTTAATGTTCTGGCTGGGGACAGAGGACAGATCCCAGTGTGCTTTTCAAGCTTTTAAAGTATTATTCAGTCTGGATGAATGACTACCCTTTGTTTTGTCATCAGAGAATATTTATGACCGTCGAAGCAAGGCTGAGTTCCTGGAGACAGGATAACGCGTGGCTTTCTGCTGCCAGACAGAGAGTTCCTTTCGGTGGTCACACCAATGTTTTTTCATACTCCCACGGACACCGCAACTTTTTTGGATAAGGAAGAAGATGATGGAACACAGATGAGGGAAAGAAATGGCCTCAGAGAACTTGGATACATGGGGGTATTTTTACGCTTTGGGGTTTTTTCTTCCTGAATTTCAATGAGTGACTTATTGGAAACTTCTTTGGGTTTGAAGTGTTTTTTTCTCGTTCCACACACACAAAACTGTTTTGGATTGTTTTGTTTGTCTTTGTTTATAATGCAGCTGAGATAGGGTGACTTGATATTTTTAAAATAGAAAACTGATGCCTTCTGAGGGAATGGGGGGAACAGATGAGGACTTTACTAGCTGGAAACATGGGTCATGCCAAGGACAACTTGTTGCTGCAAAGGATGTTTTGGAGATGGGGGGAGGATTGTGTGGAAGCTGGTATGGAGGGAAGAGTAGTGCTGCTTCTCCTTGAGTGCCCAGTCCACTGATCGTTCTCAAATGCTGGACCCCAAGGGCTCCTCCACCACAGTCACATATCTCCTTTTATTTATCACCCTTTTTTTTCTTTCTTAAGGCAAATTCTAGATTAAACTGTTTCAACCCACATTAGCAGCTATCAGGCACTTGAGTGCCAAACAGATAACAGTATGGCAGTGAATGAAATAGAGGTTATCCCTTATTACTTCCTAAAAAAAACCCAACACCACCCCCTCAAAAAATCCTGTTATTGTTGAGGTAACAAAGCTAATGGGATTACAAATCCAATTTTGTGACTTGCTAAGCAGGAGAACCCTCACACAAAATGTTCAGCATCTTGTCTCTTATTTTAATTGTTACTAAATCCTGTGAGGCCCTTCAAGTTTAGTAGCATGCTCTTTTGGAGCCTGCTACACACTGGAGACTGCCCAGTGCACCCAGGAGTAATAGCATATTTTCAGAGAAATAATTTGTCAATAAATTGTCAGATGTGTTGTGGACCAGGAGGATAATATGCCAGATGGAGTGTCTTCCAAGGATTACCAGTCAAATTAACAGCATGGGTATCCACATGAGACCTATTTGTTTCCACTTTATGCTTGTTAGGAAGAGCACAGTCCTGCTTTCACAGGGTCACTAGGGTTGGAAGATCATCCTGTCCAGCCCCCTGCCAAGGCAGGGTCACCTAGAGCAGGTTACACACACAAAAGCATCCAGGCAGGTTTTGAATGTCTCCAGAGAGGGAGACTCCACAGCCCTCCTGGGCACCTATTCCAGTGCTCCGCTACCCTCAGCATAAAGAAGGTCTTCCTCATGATGAGGTAAAACTTCTTGTATTTTAGTTTACGGCCATTGCTCCTCACCCTGTCACTGGGCACCACTGAAAAAGAGTCTGGCACCATCCTCCTGGCACCCACCTTTGAGATATTGATCTGCACTAATGAGATTCCCTCTCAGTCTGCTCTTCTCTACAGTAAACAGGCCCAGCTTCCACAATCTCTCTTCTTAAGAGATGCTCCAGACCCCTGATCATCCTTGTGGTCCTCCACTGGACCCTCATCAGTAGCTCCTTGTCTTTCATGTACTGAGGAGCCTAGCACTGGACACAGCACTCCAGACGTGGCATCACCAGGGTCAAGTAGAGGGGGAGGATCAGCTCCCTTGACCTACTGCCACACTCCTCCCAGTGCATCCCAGGATACTATTGTCCCTCCTGGCTGCATGGGCACACTGCTGACTTATAGTCAATTTATCGTCATCCACCAATACTCCCAGGTCCTTCTCAGCTGAACTGCTCTCCAGTAGGTCAGCCCCCAGCCTGTAGTGCTTCTTGGGGTTCCATGTTGTGCAGCTAAATTAATGAGTAAGGTATTCTATTTTTTCCAAATGATCACCTTTGGAATAACTTAATAGTTTGAAATTAATATTTCCTTGGTATTTCTAAGTCTGTAATAGAATATGGCAAATGCTATAATGGAAGGCATAACTCAAATATTGATAAATGATCATCAGACTGTGAGGTAAGTCTGATGATAATGCTCTTCTTTATCTGCTGTCATGCTATCATTCCCATTCCACAGCTTCCTCACTTTGCTATGGCAACTGGTCAAACTGGAGACAGGGACCAGAAATTAGTGGTAATGTTGAAATAAACTCCATTGTTCTCACACTTCTGAATAACACATTCCCACTGGTGCTGTTGGGGTTCAAATACAAATCTGGATAGGTTTTGCTAGGTCCTGCTGGTGGACTAAGAGAGAGAGAAGGTGGCATTGATTCCGCGTATCCATTATTACCTAATTTTGATTTTGTTGTTCATATATTTTGAGAAGTTTAGCAAAGTTACAGTTTGTGCAGATTCACCTCAAACATCAGAAGATGCTGAGAGAGCCAGGGAATAATGTTGGACAGGGAAGTATTACAGTCATTCTTTCTACCACTTCCTTTCAAACTGATGTAAACAAATGCTTGTTTTCATGTTCTTTCCCTTGGGAAAGGGAGAATGCTGAACTGAAATGATCAATATGTGTTTTTTTCCATGGCTACCCAGGAATCTTCATCCCAAAATTCTTTTTTAATCACAACTTGTCTGGCATTTATTGACAGGATCCAGTTTTTCATTTTTGGTCCATTGTAAGTTATGGAATCTTGCTATTAGGAACAAATCTGGATGAACTGCTTTATGGAACAGCAAACCCAGGTATGTGTGTTTGTGAAAATTAAAGAATTTTCAAGGGGGAAATAATCACTGTTATTTTAACTGTTGATAAATGTTATATGCACTGTAGACTTCCATATTAATTTATTCTTCTATGCAAATATTTCCCATGCTTGTTTCATTTTTTTCCCACAGCATTTTTTTAAGAGCTCTGGAAGCTGGATTTGATGGCTTCTAAACCACCACAATTTCTTTTCACTTGGCAAGAACCTGAGGCACTCCACGTGTGAACGCGAGGTACAATGAGCCATTCTGTGGTGGTCAGTGCCAAGAAACAGTGGTATGCAATTCCTAGATTTCTGGCATGTGCTTTGCACAACATATCACACCAGGGATGCTTTCAGAGACACACGTATAGTATTTATTTCCCATTGACAAGTAGTAATGTGAAGTGGTTAAAGGCAGGTTGTATTTTTCTGAATCTCTCCCATGCAGTCTTTCTGTTACTATGTTCTCAGCCATCCTCCCGAAAAGGTGGAAGCTTTGGGATTTTCCTCCCTGGAATTTAAGTTCTGCAAAAACGCATTTGCAGAGGTGTCATTTACTGCATGGTCCCTCCACGAGCACTGGGATCTTGCTCCTGCAGCTGGAGCTGGCTGTATGAAGCTGCTCAGCACCAGTGAGAGCATGAACCAGGTAGGAAAGGGGTTTCTGAACCACAGGTACCTTGAAGACACTAATAGGTACAGCAGAGACATGCACACATACCACACCTAGTTTGGCATTTAGTAAATAGATTGCAAGTCAGATTGTGTTCAAGAGGTTGGGAGGAGGTAGGAGGTCTGTGGGGTTGTGTTCACAGGACTGTTGAGAGGTGGGCTGTCAATGCTGTGTGTCTGGGAATAGTGATGGGAGGGGTTCCTGGACCTCCCTTGAGGTGGGGTGAGAGCTTGTGATGCTGAACATGGGGGTTATTGATGATAAAAATGGTGTTTTCTATAGTATTGAGAGCAATTTTAATGGCATGATGAGGGTAAATGAGATATAAAGGTACAAAATAATAATGAAGTTGGAAGACACAATCATCTTGTGGTTCAGGCAACGGATAGGAATCAGGAGTTCTTGGATCAGTTTTTGACTTTGCCACAGACTTGCTGTGTTACTTTCAGCCAATCACTTAGTCTCTGCATCCACCATCTGTGAAACAGCAAGGCTTGGAACAGTTTGTGTCTCTGAAAGCATGTACCTAATTTAGGTGTTATTATGAAAGTTAAATATTAAGGAACTTTTACTTTATCATAGGATAAATCCATGCCACATCTATTTTCACTATGAGCTTTGTTCTTTTGCAATTACAGGTTTTTGGAGGAAAAATAATGTTTTCACTACATAAAAAGAAGTTCAGTGGGAATTCATGATACATGCTATGATCCTTGATCCTTGTAGATCTGTTGTCTGACACTAAAATAAGAGATGCACATTATGTGCCACAGGGAAGACTTCAGAGCTGATTATTCAATAAAATGAAGCACAGGTCTGGACACTGAAAGTAAACAAATAACATCAGGCTCTGTAGAGATTAATGTCCCCAAGCTGTTTGAAAATTTCAGTAGCTTGTGTCTAAATGTAGACACTCCTTATCCACTTGTCAACAGGCATGCTGCTCTGAATTCTTTGTTCAAATTTCCATTAATGTTCTGTGTCAGAGAAGGGAAATAACTTAGATAAGATCAATTTTTAAACATGTTTCTTCAGGAAGGAACTAAAGAACGATCCTGAAAACTACCTCCTGGAATGTAAAAATTCTGATCTTTGGGAAAATAAAGGGACTGCTGTGTGAGATGAAAAACATCAGTATATTTCGAGGACAGATGAGTTTGCCAGACTTGACTTATTTGCAAACTTCAGGTCGGTCTTTTAATGTGCACAGTCAGTTTGTGAGGAGGTGCTTCCAGATTAAGGAAGCACTGATAAACATCAAAGCAATTTATACTATTTACATTATGAAACACGGAAGCTTCCTGTGACAGCTGGCAGTTTGTCTGCGTAAGGAAGATTATGACAGGGACTTTTTGAAAGGTCAATATGGGTTTCATTCTATTTTTCAGTATTCATTAATACTATGGGAAGTGGTGATTACCTAATTGAAGGCTGAAGTAGTATAGCTACCCAGCAGAGCTGAAGGGATGTCTGTAGCACAGTTACATGCACCTAAACTAGCAGGGAAGCAGGCAAAGTGTGGCCATACATGTGCCATTCAAAACCAGCAGTTTGACCAAGCCAACTGTTATCATTGTCTTTGTTCTAACTGATAAGTTTCACAGCATAAAGACAACTTCCAAGAGATGTAACCCTGAAAGGCACATCTTTCTCTCCTACCCCTCCCAGCCCTAACCTTGCAGTATGAGTCAGTAATAATGACCCATAGCCTTTTTACAGAATTTCAAGTATTTTACCTGTGTTGTGTCTACATTGTCACATGCAGTGATGTGTCATCCCTGAAGCATTCGTAGTGCTGTACTAAGTACCCTGTCTTAGCTATCTCAGCTTTCTCTGTGCAATTTTTTTATATGAAATACTCTTTAGAAAAAGGCATCACTTTTTTTCCCCACTGAGTATTTAATATGGTCCACAGACAATTTCAGACTGGTTATGAACAACTCTAGAGCAGTGTTTTGGTAACACTTGTTCTGAGATCTATAATGTAGGTCTCTTTCCAAAAACTCCAGAAAGCATGCCTAGAATCAGTGGATCAGGGAGGTATTCGGTTGGAAAATCATTCACCTTTCATGGAAAAAAATCACCCGTATTCTTTGGATGGCCTTTTCTAATGCAGGGCCTGTTACAAACCTCAAAACCAGAGCACTCCTTCAGCTTCTGAAACGGCTGCAGATTTGTACAGTTTTGCTCTCAGATGGTTTGGCACAGCTTTAGCAATGCAAAGCCTTGCTCCAAGGCATCTTTGTATCCCTGCCTTGTGTGCTGGGGCAGATGTGTTTGGTGATGTCTTGAGTCTACTATGAATTAATTGTGTACCGTGCCGCAGTAGCATCATCCATGACATCTATTATGTTACTTCTCCTAATAGCAGTTATATTTTACATCACTGGGACGAAATCCTTGCAGATCTGACCTCTGCTTGTATCATTCTGTGCAAACTTGAATCTCCAGAGTCTAAAATGCTTGGGATTTTTTTTTCTTTCTGTGAAAATGTCAGGAAGAAAACACTTAAAAAGGAGGCATGGTTTGAAGCTACTTAAATTAAAAACTTCGTGTGGATGTTTGCTGCAACTCAGGTCTCTGCTTGGAGTTACATAGTCAGATCCTTTTAGCTGTCCAGAGCCCTGTAACAATAGACAAGGGGCACAGAGGTGTTCCCCCTGCAGGAATCCCATTGCCAGTAACAGCTTGATTTGAACAAGTGGCAGAAGTCACTGCTTGGAAGGGCTGACTAGACTTTATATGGTAGCAGTTTAATACATTTCAGAAAAACGTGTTCTAATGGACCAGGTCTGATCTACTAGGTCCTTTCTACTTGTTTTCTCTGATGTATGTGTTAAGCCTTAAATACCATATGACACTAAATCTACACTATAAGGCAAAGGGCTTCATTTTACGTTACTCAGTCAAAGATCAAATGAATTCTATGCTTGATGGTGTCTCTGACAGTGGAAGGCAACAGAATATTTTAATAAACAAGATAAAGCAAAGCACTAATAATGCATGTTATCTCACCAAACCTGCAGTCATCTCCCCTGCAGCTACAGGATTTGCCAAAAAAATAAAAAGCCATAGAATAATGGGTTAAGGACACTTCCTGGCCTGAAAGCTTTAGACAATACATTACCAAAATATGTTTCTCAGTAGAAATATTATGAGGAGCGCCCTCCTTTAGAAACGTAGCCAGCAGGCATCAGATTAATTTATTATTTTTTTTTATTATTTTTTTTTTATCATTGCAGGCTGGCAGTACTTCTCTCCAGATGTACCATTTGGCACATTAAGCAAGTCTTTTCTTAGAAGGGGAACCTATGGTTTTGCCATGTAATGCAAAACACCAATGGAATCACTACATAAGCAAAATGCCAGTAATGGTATAGTGGTCCAGCCACAAACATTGGTATGTTAATTTTGTTTTATTTTTCCCAGTGTGTCATCTGTAGTACTGTATTTTGTATCAGGACTATGGCTGGGCTGTTTAGTATCAGATTTTAAAGTAAGTTTTCAGCAAGAGATTTAAGCTAGGAAACTAGTGGATATGATGCTTAAAAAAAAAGGGAGGGAGGGGAAGCTGTACTGAGTAGGGATCTGACTATTATTTTAGCCTGATTTTACAGACCAGGCCAAATTTTCCCTTCAGTTATAGCTGTTCAAACCTTTCAGCTGCATGCATACACTTTTGATACACTGGGAAACAAGTAGGTTATGCTAAGTCTGTGGCTTATGCTTGCCATTGCTTCCTATGACGAGCTCTGCTTTCAAACAAAATTTTTATTTATTTCTAAGTAAGAAGATGGAAATAATTATAGCATATTCAGTTTGTATATGGAAGGCAGTGATTGGCCTCTCAATCCTCTGTGCTATCTTAGTTCTGTAATGAATATTAAGATTGTTCAGTTCTTAAGAATGCAGGAGTAGTAGCTGTTACGTTGCATGTTCTGTATTTCAGCTTACTTTCTGAATTTGATCTATACTATTAACATTGTATGGAAAGGAGAAAAGTTGCAAAAAAATATTTGTTTTCCATTCCTTTGTTTTTCTGGCAGCAGAAAAAGTAGCGAGAGGTTACATAGTGAGGGGCTTTATCTGTCATCCCTCTAGTTTTGCATGCAGAAGCAGAACATAAGTTGTTCCATTTTCATTTGACTTTTCTAGATGAGGGTGGGATTTAACCTACAGTTTTTTCTGTAGACCTTGTTGAGAGTCATCCAAGGTAAAGGGTTTTTTTTATTAGGTGCCATTCATATGTACTGTGAAGCAGCCATCAGTCTAAAGAGCAGGAGAAAACACTGGGGAAAGAAGGGCAAGCCAGGGTAGCAACGCAAGGATGGTGATTTGCACAGGCCCAGGAAGCACATCAGCAGGAATATGATTTGTTGGTTTTTCTTCTATATCCCCCCTGTAATACTTGGGTTTGCTGGAAGCTGAGAAGCAGTATCTCAAGGAGGATTGTTTTATTCTTGCTGTTTCTCATGCACCTACTGTAGCATCTGCTGCTGCATTCTGTCTGAGACAGGATATTGAGATAGCCTGTTGTTTGACCTAACCTAGCAAGCTCTTATATTTAACCTAGCTAGCTCCTATACAGTAGTTTCCTAAGATGGGATCTGTTTTCTCACCCACCTTATGTCAAATAATCAGAGAGCATGTTCCCTTTTCTTACCACCTCTGCCCTGCTGCAATTCTTCTGATGCCATTAGTCTTATTTCTGGTTTATAAGAGAACTAAGGCCATACTTTCTCATCAGCCAGCCAGATACACTGAATTCCAAGGAGTGTGTGGCCTGTTCTCCATGGCAGTCCTGCCTCTTGATGTATTAGACCAGTACATGTGAGGTCCTGAGTTCCCCAGCTTCTTCTGGTAAGGGCCTTTGGGCTGGCCGTTGGGAAGCATTCTCCAAATGATCATTGATAGGCCTACCCTTTCCCTTGCCTGATGATTTTTGAAGAATCGCTGTAGTTCATGTAAAACATTTTATTTTCCATTCCCTATAGGAGGAAGGGGCAGCACTTCCCGTGGGATCATAGCCACAAACAGCAGGACGACTACCTTTCTTCTAGCCTTGAGGCCGAGGAACAAAAAGGAGGTTGACTATGCAAATGACAATTTCTTCCGTGGCGGGGCTGCTCTTTGCACTGGGGGAAAGGTTGTCGCCTTGGGGAGACATCTGCAACACTGCCCGGCCTGACTCCTGTCTTGGGTTCCCTAGCATTCTTCTGTTTGTTATAACAAATATCCTGTAATTCAAGCTCTCTGTAGGTGGGGTTGGACTCTGCTCAGTAGAGTTTCGGTAGATAGCAGGTTTCCTTCTATTTAAGATGACAGGTGTTTAGTTTTTAACTGGCTCCTGCCATTCACCATAAATCTCACCTTTCCTCCTCCCAAGTTAAATATGTCAGTTCTAGCTTTTGCCATCCACGCAGCCTGAAAATGACAGCTTCTGATTGCCCACATACACAAAGCAGTGGAAGAGCAACAGCAAAAAGAAAAAAAAAAAAGAAAAAAGATATTTCTGCCATAGTTTCTACTTCAGTTAGGCTGTGTGGCCTTTCCAGTGTGATTAACTGTGTAATTAGTAATTACCAGGTGTGGCAGGGTAGGCACTTTATTGTGGCTTTTTTTCTGTCCCATGAATGCTGGGAAAGAATGTTAGGAAGGCAGTTAGTTGTGAGAACACTTTCCCTCTCCTGTTGGTTCAGTTCCTAAAATCTGGTGACGTTTTAAACCCCCAGGAAGAGGAACAACCAAAATTCTATTATTTCTCTTTGGGCCTTAAAGGCTAAAGGCTGGAGGATTTCTGAAAGGAAGCTAATCCTCCCTCCTGGTCAGCCACAGGAGTGAAAAGGATAGTGCTAATTCTGTACCCTCTTTTGCTTTTCCACTTTTCTTTTTCACTTTTCTCTTTGAAGCAAATGACCCAGGGCAAAACATGGCTGTGAAGGTTTACAGCTACCCTTGGAGTTGAAGTGGAGAGAGTCACCACCGTGTTGCTGAGAGCTCCGCTATGCTGATAGAGCATGGAGGGGAAACAGGATGCATGTTCAAGGTAAACTACTTTTTACAAAGTTAAATATAGATAAATATTTCAAATATTTAGGCTTTTCTCACTCCCATTTTATGTTGCGGAAAGTGATCCCCTCCCAGCTGTAGGGTGCCTAGGGTGGAGGGATTGAGGTAAACTATGAGGTTACTATGGGAATGTTTCTTCTTTGAGGCAAATATGTTAAATGCAGCTCAAGTTTGCGTTGGCATGTGAATGTAACTGAAAGCACTGGCACTTCTTTACTCACCAGTATGCTATGACTGAGAGTGCATCCATGAAAGAAATGTTGATTAGGCAATCAGCCTGTGTAAGACTTCCCTGTGGCACATCATCTACTCTTCGTGTTTGCTATATTTTCATAAGACTTAGGTAACTGAACTTAGACATTCTTCATTCCAAAGTCCATTCCGTTTTTTAATCCTTTTCAGTTTGAGGTAGCTTTTATGGCTGGCTGTCATTCAAATTGCATTTTGAAGGCATTTTTGAGGAAACTTGAAGTTCTAGAGTGTTAATAAAGTGTTGCCTGCTAAAATAAAGCCAGATTGGTTCAACATTAATGTTAAAGAGTATATAAATAGTAAAGGCTGAAATGTCAAAACAAATAAAGATAATTAAAAAATACCACTGTTTTCAAGGTATGTTGGTGACATTTCATGAGCTATGTTAGTGAAGACTTAAAAACTATGTATTGCCATATGCTGAACATATCAAGCTTCCCTTCTGCTACTATTCATATGTCAGAGGACTCATCTGTATTTATTTTCCTTCAAAATGTTCCTGTTACATTATAGATGAGTGCAGCACCTATATCATTGTCCACAATTAATTCTCACTCTCCATACATCCAACAGCATATGGTACTTCCTAAGAAGAATGAGTCCTTTCCTTAAGAGAGGAGTTAAATTAGTCTTTTGTAAGGTTAGTCTTTCAAGTTAGTTTACAGCTTTAGCACAAAAGCAGTGGCCCCTTTACATGAGGTTCCACCCAGATGAAGAGATGGCAAGCTTACTGATAGCACATACTCAGAGGACTTTCCCGTTTACCTATGCCCTACATTCTTCCACATGCTTTTGTCAAAAATCCTTGGAGCTGTGGTCACAATGTGTAAAATGGGGTTGTTAGTGCTTGTCCTCCTGACTTCTTTGGGATGTAAAAGGCTATTTCATGGAGACTAGCACAGAGATAAAGAGGAGAATGATTCTGGTGCTGAGTCTTGACCCACCGAGATCCAGTGTGTACATTTTCATTGGATTTACGTGGTTCACTGGCAAGTATTATGCTAGTTTGTTGTTGCTTTCCAGGAAACAAGAGAAAGAACAGGAAGACTGAGCAAGTGGTTGGACTCAATGATATGAGGGTCTTTTCCAACCTAAATGAGTCTATGATGCTATGAATGAAACCTGAAAGGGCTTTTCATGCATAAGCAAAGAAGCTGGGTTCCAATAATATCAAGACAAGCTTTACAACTTTTTTAAGATGCCTTAAAGAGCATGTAAAATTAAATTTTACACCAGTTTTAATATTTTTTCATGGCACCAGGCTCCACTTTGATATCAAAAGCAACTACTGAGTGAGGTTAGATTTGATGTAAAGAATAGCATTAGTTCATCAGAAAGGAAGGTGCTGCTTAACCACTAAAGTATTTTAAAAATATTTTTCTGTGTAGATTTGTCACTAATTATGCTATATAAATTTAAGAGTGGAAATTTGGTTTCTCCATCATCATAACTTGCATGCCTAATGTTTTGCACTGAGCTTTGGAGTGCAGCTGAAGTGCAACTCTCCTTGGAGATTTATTTTTAATATAATACCATTTTCTAGTTAAACATTTCATATGAAATATACTGAGCAAGCTAAAGAGGGCTACTTTGTTTGCAGTACTCTATAAGCAGAAGATTGCCTGAGGACTTCCTTATTGAATATACCTTATCTTGCTCTGTATCCAGTAACAGATCAAGTTGGAGTGTAACGTACCTCAAGCTCTGTTTGATTTTCTCTTTTTTTTTCTTTTCTTTTTTCATCTCCAGCTACACGGATTAGGGCTATTAAGATGTTGGTCTAAGTCACAAGAGTTTTGGAGACCGGAAATACTTGATTTCAGTAGTTGAATTTAAAGTTATCTGAAGGTAAATATCTCTTATCTAGACAGTGTGTAAATTGTGTATTCATCTGATTTCCTTTCCTCACTGGATATCGTTTTCCCTTGGTGAGCTGTTCGTTTGGCTTCCTAAGCAGAACTAGACAAACTCCCAAATCACTTCATGCTTTCAGTGAGCTGTGTCACCTTTCTCTTTTTTATTTTCTTTAATCATTCTTTTCATGCTTCCGGAACAATTGAGCTGTATTATTGCGAAAGTTTTACTATCATCCTCTGCGTTCTTGTCTCAAACTTCATGCCTTAAAATTAATGTGTTCGATATTCAGCTACCATCTCTCTAATAATGCGTGCTTCAGGGTTTGTGATTTCTAATGTGAGTGTAAACATTACATTTCTAATGATACCTTGTGTTGGATTAAGGGACGCAAATACTAGAATTATGAATACTAGAGTTATGTACCCTTACCAGTCCAGGGAGCTGTAACCTACTGCCATAAATTCTCATTCAAGTTTCCCAGAGGTAATATGTTGGCCAAATCCTTTATTGAATGGCTACTGTCTATTGATAAATCATTTATTTTGAGCGGAAAGCTCACTAATGGTAGTCCAAGTTTTCAAAAAGTATGTGTGTGGCTGCTATACTTGTTGTGTGGGCATTTCTACAAGTACTGTGTGTGGATAAACATGCATATTTGTTCTAATGACAAGTAATTATCAGTAATATCAATAAATATGTTACATTAGTTAACCCAGTGCCTTCCTGAGGACATTTCTACTTTGAAAAGTCATTATGAAAAAATTTCACCTTTCCTCCATACCATTATTGTTTCATAACATACCATTATCGCTCCATAACACACCATTATCAGCAAATACCTGATAACATATCCCTATATGCGTGCTCTTGGGACAGAAATTACTATTTACTGCTTTTATTGCTGCAGGCATTGCCAGAGTGTGCAGCTGTCTCTGTTTTGGAATAGGTCTTGGAATTGTTAACTATTTTGCTACTGTGACTGCAAATCCTGCCTTTAATTTACCCTTTTTCTACCTTATTAGAAACAGGGAGTTGTCCACACTGGGTTGAGGGCAGAAGTTTGGCTCCATGAATCTCTGTTCCTGGTGATGCTATGCAGGCCAAATTAAAACCATCTTGACTTCAGTCAGAGCCCAGGCTAGCTTTTCTCAGCTTGGCACCCGTAGTACCATGCTGCTCAGTGAATTGGTATGGGAAAGGATTGATGCACTAATGCTGCTGGGCTAACCGTATACTTTATGGTCATGCAATTGAAGTTGTTAAAAAAGAAAAGAAAGAAAATTTTGCCAGCAGCACTAACTGGATCTTCTTGCAATCCCTACCCATTCTCTGCATGTGCAAAGATACTGGTTATGCATTTACTAGGATAAGAGGCATAGGAAGTACTGGATGGAGACACTTGTTTTTATCACGATTTTTGATGCCCTTTCCGAACCATAAAGTTAAGAGGCTGAAATCCAAGGTGAGGGATGGTGGTAGCAGGTGGAAGTTCTGTACCACCCACATAAATCACTTAAAAGCAACAAGAATTTGGAGGGACTGTAGCAGCAAAGAACATAAGTGCAGTTTCAAAATCACTTCATGAAAGTACAACTGCTTTAAGGTTCTGTCTAAAAATTCTTACTATG